TGTGTGTTTAGTGCGTTTGCCCGCCCCCCCCCCCCCCTCCCCCGGGACCGGGCCCTGCTCCCGCCGTCCGCCCAAAGGGCCTCAGGCCCCGGCCTGGAGGAGGAGCAGAGCCCGCCCTCACAACCAGACCTCTTGCCTCGCTCTGTCTTCCGGCCAGAATCAAGAGAGTCTCTCTTTCCTGGGCTGATGGAGGGATTTTTGGCCTGTCTCCACCCAGAGCGGCCGGCTGCGCCGAGCTCGGGGTGCCCGGCGCGGGCGTTCGCAGCTCCGGGTGTGCGGTGCCCCGTTAGGAAGCAATCCTCATTCCTGCCGTTCGCGTTCGAGTTGTTTAGGAGGGAGAGGTGTAAACTGAGACACCGGCAATTGACCTTTATCACACCGCAACTGCTATGTCCGACCTGCCAGCTTGGCCCAGTACGAAATGAATATAGCAGCGCGTGAAGCTAGTAGCTAAATTTGTGTCTTTGGACCGATAACCGTCTTAAGTATTAGACCGGGGAGGCGCCTACTGACAGCCTCTTTCTGCGGCTGACCTGGGCTGAAGACGTCCCATGGTTTGTAAAGCTCGGCAGTGCTACCTTTCGATTGTGTGGAGAGGGACAGTGAGCAGGGCTGGGTTACCGGCGATGTTAGTGCAGCTGAAACGGGGTCGAACTCAACAGAGCTGCGCTTGGGCTGGAAAATAAGCTTGGTGGAAAGTGCAACCAGGTGCCGGGACTGATCTTAGCGAGGAGGGAGTTGCAGTGGATGCAGAACTAACCCTTCGCCGCTTGGGCTGACCCCCAGTTCCCCCGCCTTGAAGCCAGTTGTGTGAGAACTTGTCCATGTCTCTAAAGCGCTGTTGCTTTTCTCTGCCTGGCTCAGCATGACCTTGCGATTGGGGTTTATATATTTAGCTCTTCTAATTTGGTTTTCAAGGTGCATATTTAACCTGCGCATGTTCCTATTACTGATTCCTTTGGGCATCCTTTCCCGTTTCTTCTGATCGTTGGCTGTGCTTGTTTGGTGCCATTTGCCTTGACGACACAAAGCCCACGAATTCTGACCAGGCCCTTTTGGTGCTGCAGAATACAAAATGAGTCATTGTAATTAACATCACAGAAGGGCAGACCTATTAAAGAACATATTTCTCCTTCAAAGTCCTCAAGCAGAAGGAGGGAGATTATGTTCAAGTTTTTTTATTTAATCAGCATCATTTGTCCAGAAACTTACTGAAGTCTTCCATGCACATGATGGAAGCTGGAACACAAGCCCATCCTGTTATGAGTTCTTTTTGTCGTGTTGGAATCGAGGAAGAGCCCAGAATCCCTCCAGCATGTTAAAGGGGAGATTTCCCGTTGTGCTTTGGGTCCCGGCGTTTTCTGGGACCTGAAAGTGAAGCTGTTCTTTTTTGTTCTTCCTCTCCACAGTCCCACCGCAAGTTCTCTGCTCCCAGGCATGGCCACCTGGGCTTCCTCCCCCGCAAGAGAAGCCGTCGCCATCGAGGGAAGGTGAAGACATGGCCTAAGGATGATCCCAGCAAACCAGTCCACCTGACGGCTTTCCTGGGCTACAAAGCTGGCATGACACACACTGTGCGGGAGGTGCACAGGCCTGGGCTCAGTAAGGCTTGGCTGATGGAAGCAGGGAGCCACATCCAGGAGGGAAACGAGGGAAAAGACTTGTTGGTGGGAAAGGCTGCTCCTGGGAACGGGTGGTGGAGCACGTAGCTTCCAGGCTATCTCCCGTAATGCCGTCCAGATCTTGGATGGCCAAAGGCCACCTCATGGCCAGTGTGAGCTGAGTTTGGGGGTTCCTGGGAAGTCCTCACGCCGGTACGGTGACTGGCGGTTTGTTGGATCCTGCTGGCGGAAGGACTCTGCAGGGCAACCACCTGACAAATCCTGGGCTTGAAGTGCCTTGCTGGGGAAGTTTATAATGTTACCCTCTGGGATGCCCACAGGATTGGAGCCAAACTCCAGGGCAAGATTCATTCAATGTACTGCTTCCCCCAACCCGGGGAAGAGGGGTTAAAGAGTGCTGGGCCACGGGGTCTAACCTGTTCGGTGTCTGGGGATCAAACCCTGCGTGGCCCTCCAGCAGGTGGGAGATGGAGGGGCTGAGGCTGGCTGTGAGAACAGAGTGTGACTTTGCCCCCAGCACGTTGCTTGCTCGCTGTAACGGCACGGGCCATGAATGGCTCCAGGGAATGATCTGGTCCTAGACGATGCTGAGCACCATTTCCCTTTGCTGTCTTGCAGAGACCTCCAAGAGGGAGGAGGTGGAGGCCGTGACCATCATCGAGACCCCCCCGATGGTGGTGGTGGGGGTCGTGGGGTACATAGAAACACCGAAGGGCTTGAGGAATTTCAAGACTGTTTTTGCTGAGCACATCAGTGATGAGTGCCGACGGCGCTTCTACAAGAACTGGTACGTGCCTCCGCGGCTGGGGAGGGTCCCTGGGGCACTGCAAGTGGGGAGTCCCTCGCAGGTCTTCCCCGCAGGCTCTCCATGATGCCCAGCCGTTGCAAACAGCTGGCAGCTGGCTCTGAGGTGGCGTGAAACTGCTATTTATTTAGCCATGCACAGAGATACTGCAAACAGCTTGATGCTGGGAATCGGCATATGCATATGTAAATTTATTCTAGTAGTTGAACTAAGTTAGCTCTCTCCACAATATCATATGGTAGTGCATGCTGCAGGTCCGTTTTCCTTTGTGTAGGTCGGGCTCATTTACTCTCCATTAAACTGGGATACTTGAGCTGAGGCACCAAATGAAGGGAGTAAAACCAGATTAGTTGGGGAAAATTGATGCAGAGTGTGACCCCTGGCCCTTGTAAACATCAGCACCCGAAATCCCACACCAGCGGAGAGGAAAATGGAAACATGAATTTCGTAACTGTAGGAATCGTGTCTCCTGCAAAAGTGCCGTTGAGATCCACCCACCACATGCCTCTGATCCCTGTCGGAGGCTGTTTTCTCCTTTCTCCTCTTAGCTCTGATTTTGCGCTTGTATTTTGATGGCACTGAGCCAGTCAGTGGGAGACAACTGGATTCCTCATGCAAAAAGGTTTGAATTACCAGCCCTTCTTTGCAGCTCATTATTCACTTTCCTCTTCCCACCTCAAAGCCGTGTGTCGTGGCCCCGGCAGCCAGGCGAGGTTCAGGTATCCACAGGTACCTTGTGCCTCCAGGGAAGTGCCTGGCAAGGTGATCTGTCCCCCCACGCTGCGCTGTCTCAGGGCACAGCAAAGTGCAGAAGCACTTCACCATTCAGCTCTGCTGGATGTTAAACACTTTTGTCGTAGGCACAAGAGCAAGAAGAAGGCGTTCACCAAGTACTGCAAAAAATGGCAGGATGAGGATGGCAAGAGGCAGCTGGAGAAGGATTTTGCGGCTATGAAAAAGTACTGCAAGGTCATTCGTGTCATTGTGCACACGCAGGTCAGAGCCTCACCCCGGGGGGTGGGCAAGGGGGACTCGGGGTCTTCCTCAGCTCGGGAGCGTGGTGAGGGCCTGGGAGCCGGGATCACGGGGGTGTCTTGGTGGGGTCACAGGAGGCTGAGCAGGCAGACGCACGTCAGAGGGTGTGGGACAGGGCATGCAGGCAATGGGAGGTGCCAGCTGACTTTTCCAGCTACCTCCTGACACCCACCCTGTCCCTTTGAGGTGGGCTCAGCAGAGCTCCCTGCTGGGGGATTACCGGAGGGGGCTGTGGCACGCTGGGGAGCCCACACGCCGTGGAGGAGAGCAGACTTTGTGCAGAGCCTCAGCAGGTGGTAAGCCCTGTGTCAGCAAGGGCCCCATGATCACCTCAAATTAGCAACTGGTGTCAGATGTTTGGGCAAAAATAACCCACGGGCAGGCACAGTTTTGCTAGATGCTGATTGCTAGGTATACAGGGCTCATTTTCCTGCTGATCCCTGGAGTTAATGGCTGCTTTGGAGTCTGGGGCAGAGCTAAGCTGGCTCAAGGCTTCACTTGTGGCTGGCACAGACCCTCAAAGTCCTGCTGTAGCAATTTGGCAGGGGCTTTGCACAGGGAGCTGGGACTGGGAGAGAGTGGAGGCACCTCTTGGTGGGAACTAGGAATAACTGCTCGGTCTGGAAGCAGAGGTGGAGCATGACCAAAGGAGAGGCGCTGACTCTGGTTCGGAGCACAGAGCTGCATTCTGGCTGGTTGCAGTGTTCAGCCTCAGACGGTGCTCTGGTGATGGGCTCCTCTGGGGCGTTCACCATGGCTAGTACTACCGTGCTTAGCTTTTGGGGTAGGATGAGGCTGGCCTGCTCCTGTGCTCCCTGGAGAGAGGGTGTGGGTCAGCTCCTGCCTGGAATGGGAGCACTGGGAGATGGGGTGGTTGGGCTCAGGGAAAAGGAGTTGGGTCCAAGAGATATGTAGGCATGGTGACCCAGGTCGCTGGCTGTTATGAAAGGGGTTGACAGTGTGATAGAGAGGGGTGGTGAAGAGCTGGTCCTGCTCACCCTCTGTGCCCCTCACAAACGGTGGATGATGTGGCCCTGCCCTCATGTTCATGCCTGGGAGGTGAAGGCAACATTTTGCCCTAATGCACTGTCTAATGCAGATGAAGCTGCTGCCGCTGCGGCAGAAGAAGGCCCACGTGATGGAGATTCAGCTGAATGGTGGGACAGTGGCTGACAAGGTTGACTGGGTCCGTGAGAGGCTGGAGAAGCAGGTCTCCGTGCACAGCGTCTTCAGCCAGAACGAGATGATTGATGTCATTGGCGTGACCAAGGGGCATGGGATGAAAGGTACAGAGCAAGGAGGCCCTTGCCAGGGGCTCGGTTCTGTCCTTCTCATATGACACTACCCATAAGGTAGTGCTGGGGGAGGAGACTATTAGCCATGCTGAGAACCCACCAACTTATTGCGCAAAGGGAGTAGCAAAGAGCCTCTGGACCTCAACCGTGATGTGCAGTTCCGTTGTAGCAGAGCTTGGTTTCCTTAATCTCAGTAAAGGCCATGTTTTCTACTGTGCCCAGAGTCCTCCCGGGAGGCTCAGAGGCACTGTGAGTACGTAAAGCCATTGCACGCCTCACAAACGCCACGTGTGCGGAGGTGTGGGTGTTTCTGTGCGTGTGCGTGGATGTGCTCAGCAGGAACATGTCACAGTCTGATCAAATCCATGAGAAGTGAGAACAGTTCTGTGCTCTGGCCTCTCACGGTGGTGACAGCTCTTGGTCTCCTTCCAACATGGTATCTTCCAAGAACTGCAGAAGAATAATGAGACTCTCCCCTCCCCAGCACTCAGACACCAGCCCTGAATCTCCCCGGGGTTCTCACTGCCCT